CCCCCAAAACCCCAAAACCCCAAAACCCCAAATTTTTAGCATAATTTGAAATTTAGCAAAATCATGGAAACTGATTATTTTACAAAACCTTCAATAGGAAAGAGCAAGGCGCAGCAATTACTAAAATCATATTGCTTTCTGAAAATCTTACAATTTCTTACACCGCAAGAAATAGTAGTGCTTCAGATATTAAACCGAAGGTATTTTTAGTAACATTTTGAGTGCAATTTCCACAATATTTGGCTTTGAACTTCTGGATTTCAGACACCACATAACTTTAGGTTCTACGATGACATAATTCCTTTGGCAATCAAGAAAATTGATATTTGAAGGTAAGATCTATGTCAAACTTTGAGTTATGATAATTATCAAACTTCTATTGCACAGATCGTTTTGTGTTCTAGGAAGTTCTTAAACTCCCTCAAGAATTAGGCTCTTCTTGCTTTTGAGCATCTTGATGAATACAAATATTTAGGTCTCCTTGCCAAGGAGCTGTGATGTTGATTAAAGACAAAATAATGATCGGTAAGATTGCTATTTGGTTAATAACATTAGTTGAGCTTCCACACATCAGACTGATACAATTGAGTAACTACCTTTGTTTAATCTCTAGGTGGTGCCTGGAAGTTAAGCCTGTTTGACCAAGGCACTAGTGTATGTGTGAACAATAAAGGAAATGAAGTATGGCTCAGCTCTGGATTCCCAATCTCCCAGACCAGACTTGACAAGGTACAATCTTTATTATTCTTGTAGGAAGAACATAACAATTAAAATCTTTGGAAAGCTTTATAAAAGTATTTCATTTGAGTAATATGTAGTTGATATATCCAAAGTTCCATATTTAGCAGAGGAAAGAGAATCTATGGATATACCAAGATATGGACATGCCCTGATTCATCATAAAAATATGATCTTCGCCATTGGAGGTAGTGACAATTTGAGTGCTTTGAAAACTGTAGAAGTTTACTTTCCATCCAAAGATTACTGGGAAGAAATCGAACCGCTTCAGACAGCCCGAGAAGACGTCACTGGATGAGTTGCTAACGAAAGAATCTACATATTCTCAGTCAATCTTCTACACTCTGAATCAAACACCATAGAATACCTTGATACCAGCATAATATACAATTCCTGGGTTCAGATATCTTTAAAACTAAACAACGTGTCATTCCCAAAAACTGTTAGTTGATGCTACCACCAAAAATCCGATGAGATCCTAATCCTCGAGCCCAAAACCCGCCGCCTGTGGGAACTCCCTCTCTCTTCAGACTTCACCGCCTTCAGGCTCAACATAAAATCTCCTTTGCTTCAAAAATTCCTTCAGGTAGTAGAGACTGAACTTCCTGGAGTTTTTTAAAAATTCAAAAATTTTACAGCTAAATGGGGTTTTGGGGTTTTGGGGTTTTGGGG